GTTGTTTTCCAAAGCCGAGGGTACCAATTCGCAACTCTTTTATAGGATTCGAGCCCCTGTCCTAGGACCCGTCACAATCCGGAGTCATTTGACTCTTTTGTCATAAATTCTTTCTAAGCCGATTTGGTCTTGTTGTTTTTTTCCAAAGCCGAGGGTACCAATTCGCAACTCTTTTATAGGATTCGAGCCCCTGTCCTAGGACCCGTCACAATCCGGAGTCATTTGACTCTTTTGTCATAAATTCTTTCTAAGCCGATTTGGTCTTGTTGTTTTTCCAAAGCCGAGGGTACCAATTCGCAACTCTTTTTAGGATTCCGAGCCCTTGTCCTAGGACCCGTCAAAATCCGGAGTCATTTGACTCTTTTGTCATATATTTTTCTAAGCCGATTTGGTCATGTTGTTTTTCCAAGCCGAGGTACCAATTCGCAACTATTTTATAGATTCGAGCCCTTGTCCTAGGACCCGTCACAATCCGGAAGTCATTTGACTCTTTTGTCATATATTTTTCTAAGCCGATTTGGTCATGTTGTTTTTTCCAAAGCCGAGGGTACCAATTCGCAACTCTTTTATAGGATTCGAGCCCCTGTCCTAGGACCCGTCACAATCCGGAGTCAATTGACTCTTTTGTCATAAATTCTTTCTAAGCCGATATGGTCTTTTTGTTTTTTTCAAAGCCGAAGGGTACCAATTCGCAACTCTTTTATAGGATTCGAGCCCCTGTCCTAGGACCCATCACAATCCGGAGTCATTCGACTCTTTTGTCATAAATTCTTTCTAAGCCGATTTGGTCTTGTGTTTTTCCAAAGCCAAGGGTACCAATTCACAACTCTTTTATAGGATTCGAGCCCCTGTCCTAGGACCCGTCACAATCCCGAGTCATTTGACTCTTTCGTCATTAATTCTTTCTAAGCCGATATGGTCTTTTTGTTTTTCCAAAGCCGAGGGTACCAATTCGCATCTCTTTTATAGGATTCGAGCCCCTGTCCTAGGACCCGTCACAATCCGGAGTCATTCGACTCTTTTGTCATAATTCTTTCTAAGCCGATTTGGTCTTTTGTTTTTCCAAAGCCGAGGGGTACCAATTCGCAACTATTTTATAGGATTCGAGCCCCTGTCCTAGGACCCGTCACAATCCTGAGTCATTTGACTCTTTTGTCATAAATTCTTTCTAAGCCGATTTGGTCTTTTTGTTTTTTCAAAGCCGAGGGTACCAATTCGCAACTCTTTTATAGGATTCGAGCCCCTGTCCTAGGACCCGTCACAATCCGGAGTCATTTGACTCTTTTGTCATAAATTTTTTTCTAAGCCGATTTGGTCTTGTTGTTTTTTTCCAAGCCGAGGGTACCAATTCGCAACTCTTTTTAGGATTCGAGCCCCTGTCCTAGGACCCGTCACAATCCGGAGTCATTCGACTCTTTTGTCATAAATTCTTTCTAAGCCGATTTGGTCTTGTTGTTTTTCCAAAGCCGAGGGTACCAATTCGCAACTATTTTATAGGATTCGAGCCCTTGTCCTAGGACCCGTCACAATCCGGAGTCATTTGACTCTTTTGTCATATATTTTTCTAAGCCGATTTGGTCTTGTTGTTTTTTCAAAGCCGAGGGTACCAATTCGCAACTATTTTATAGGATTCGAGCCCCTGTCCTAGGACCCGTCACAATCTAGAGTCACTTGACTCTTTTGTCATAAATTCTTTCTAAGGCGATTTGGTCTTGTTGTTTTTCCAAAGCCGAGGGTACCAATTCGCAACTCTTTTTTAGGATTCGAGCCCCTGTCCTAGGACCCGTCACAATTCGGAGTCATTCGACTCTTTGTCACAAATTCTTTCTAAGCCGATTTGGTCTTGTTTGGTTTTCCAAAGCCGAGGGTACCAATTCGCAACTATTTTATAGGATTCGAGCCCTGTTCTAGGACCCGTCACAATCCGGAGTCATTTGACTCTTTTGTCATATATTTTTCTAAGCCGATTTGGTCATGTTGTTTTTCCAAAGCCGAGGGTACCAATTCGCAACTCTTTTATAGGATTCGAGCCCCTGTCCTAGGACCCGTCACAATCCGGAGTCATTTGACTCTTTTGTCATAAATTCTTTCTAAGCGATTTGGTCTTGTTGTTTTTTCAAAGCCGAGGGTACCAATTCGCAACTATTTTATAGGATTCGAGCCCCTGTCCTAGGACCCGTCACAATCCAGAGTCACTTGACTATTTTGTCATAATTCTTTCTAAGCCGATTTGGTCTTGTTGTTTTTCCAAAGCCGAGGGTACCAATTCGCAACTCTTTTTAGGATTCGAGCCCTTGTCCTAGGACCCGTCACAATCCGGAGTCATTTGACTCTTTTGTCATATATTTTTCTAAGCCGATTTGGTCATGTTGTTTTTCCAAAGCCGAGGGTACCAATTCGCAACTATTTTATAGGATTCGAGCCCTTGTCCTAGGACCCGTCACAATCCGGAGTCATTTGACTCTTTTGTCATATATTTTTTTAAGCCGATTTGGTCATATTGTTTTTCCAAAGCCGAGGGTACCAATTCGCAACTCTTTTATAGGATTCGAGCCCATGTCCTAGGACCCGTCACAATCCGGAGTCAATTGACTCTTTTGTCATAAATTATTTCTAAGCCGATATGGTCTTTTTGTTTTTTCAAAGCCGAAGGTACCAATTCGCAACTCTTTTATAGGATTCGAGCCCCTGTCCTAGGACCCATCACAATCCGGAGTCATTCGACTCTTTTGTCATAAATTCTTTCTAAGCCGATTTGGTCTTGTTGTTTTTCCAAAGCCAAAGGTACCAATTCACAACTCTTTTATAGGATTCGAGCCCCTGTCCTAGGACCCGTCACAATCCCGAGTCATTTGACTCTTTCGTCATTAATTCTTTCTAAGCCGATATGGTCTTTTTGTTTTTCCAAAGCCGAGGGTACCAATTCGCATCTCTTTTATAGGATTCGAGCCCCTGTCCTAGGACCCGTCACAATCCGGAGTCATTCGACTCTTTTGTCATAAATTCTTTCTAAGCCGATTTGGTCTTTTTGTTTTTCCAAAGCCGAGGGTACCAATTCGCAACTATTTTATAGGATTCGAGCCCCTGTCCTAGGACCCGTCACAATCCTGAGTCATTTGACTCTTTTGTCATAAATTCTTTCTAAGCCGATTTGGTCTTTTGTTTTTTCAAAGCCGAGGGTACCAATTCGCAACTCTTTTATAAGATTCGAGCCCCTGTCCTAGGACCCGTCACAATCCGGAGTCATTCGACTCTTTTGTCATAAATTCTTTCTAAGCCGATTTGGTCTTGTTGTTTTTCCAAAGCCGAGGGTACCAATTCGCAACTCTTTTATAGGATTCGAGACCCTGTCCTAGGACCCGTCACAATCCCGAGTCATTTGACTCTTTCGTCATTAATTCTTTCTAAGCCGATATGGTCTTTTTGTTTTTCCAAAGCCGAGGGTACCAATTCGCAACTCTTTTATAGGATTCGAGCCCCTGTCCTAGGACCCGTCACAATCCGGAGTCATTCGACTCTTTTGTCAGAAATTCTTTCTAAGCCGATTTGGTCTTTTTGTTTTTCCAAAGCCGAGGGTACCAATTCGCAACTATTTTATAGGAATCGAGCCCCTGTCCTAGGACCCGTCACAATCCGGAGTCATTCGACTCTTTTGTCATAAATTCTTTCTAAGCCGATTTGGTCTTGTTGTTTTTCCAAAGCCGAGGGCACCAATTCGCAACTCTTTTATAGGATTTGAGCCCCTGCCCTAGAACCCGTCACAATCCCGAGTCATTTGACTCTTTCGTCATTAATTCTTTCTAAGCCGATATGGTCTTTTTTTTTTTTCAAAGCCGAGGGTACCAATTCGCAACTCTTTTATAGGATTCGAGCCCCTGTCCTAGGACCCGTCACAATTCGGAGTCATTTGACTCTTTTGTCATAAATGTTTTCTAAGCCGATTTGGTCTTGTTGTTTTTCCAAAGCCGAGGGTACCAATTCGCAACTCTTTTATAGGATTTGAGCCCTTGTCCTAGGACCCGTCACAATCCGGAGTCATTTGACCCATGTCTACATGTATGGGCTTTGGGTAATGGGTTCGGGTTCGGGTTCGAGTTCAGGTTCGGGTTCGGGTTCGGGTTAGTATTAGGGTTAGAATCCAATGGGGTTTAAGTTCAATCAGGTTTTGAATATATTACCCGATTGGGTAATTATAAATATTTGGTTACGGTCTTTTCAAGTACTGGTCAATTCGGTTTTTAAGAACTTATAAATACCAAAAAAAATTGGGTATTTCTTCTGTTCGGGGATTTTGTATCCGATACCAGGAAGGTTACCCAAATACTTGAAACATTTGTATGAGTTCAGTTACGTTACGGGTATTTTGGTACGCTTCCGAATAATTGTTGATAACCTAGTATCAGTCGAGTATCGGGTACAAATGGGTACAAATATTTTGGATATTCTAATGCATGTTCGGGTATCGGGTAATACCTGGACCTGAACCCTTACATGGGTAGACATGTATAGTGGTAATTTGGTTCTAGCCATACCACTACACATGGGTAGACATAACCGACCTGATCCAGATATTTAGGGTGGGTTCCGATTTGGGTTTTCGGGTTTGTGTTTTTTGTCCACTTATCTTTTTTTGGGTTTCTAAGAAAAAACAAAAAAAATCAAAAACACAAACAAAGAGGGAAAGACAGAAATACCTCATTGAAGTGGAGGCAAGCTTCCCAAGTGTTAGATTCGAAACAAAATCTCCCTAAAACAAAAGTTAATCCAAAACAATTAGTAAATATGTAAACTTAACCAATCAACAAACAAAAGTTAAGTACGTCCCTCAACACTAAAACACTAAAACTCTGTGTTCTCGTCAACACTAAAAATCTATCTACTCAACCCAAAAATCTCCAATCTTCTTATCTTGAATTGCGTTGTAACATGGCATCAGATCTAGGGAACTTCTAGGGATAGTAGAGACTTACACTATTGCTCCTTCACACTGCCTCATGTATCACTTAGTTGCAACTTTTTTCTCTCATGCTCCAGCTGTGACACAACAAAACTGAATTAATATCACATGAAACGCAAGACTGGCAGAATATTAGTGTACATGTAAATGGTCCAGCAAGAAGCTCACCATCAGTTGAAATAATGGCTAAAACAAGTGCATTTTGGTCTTCGATCACTGATGCATCAGGAGCACCAGTGTTCAGGCCCTGTGGGGAGAATTGAACAAATAGAACTTGAGACATAGGAATCGCAGTAAGTAACAAAATTGAAATCAAAATCATAAAGTGATCATGATAGACTTTTCACCAGTAAATCATCGGTATCAATGAAGTTCTGAGCGTTGGCTGGAGGAGGAGGCGGGGGGAGAAGGTTCTGTTTCTTCAGATACAACAACGGCATCATCTGAAGGTAACATTTCACGTTCTTCATGCAACAGTTCAGTATCTTCGACATTCAGTCCATCATCCAGCCTATACGTTAGAAGCTGAATGTAGACAACTTTATTATCACACAAGACAGAGAGCAAAAAAAGCCAAAAGACCAAAACAAAAATTAGATCACTAATATGAGAATATATGCATAGATACCAGTGTTTCCGCAGGGACATCGACAACTCGCGGTGCTTCTTTAATATACTCCTCCATTGTTGTCAGAAAAGATTGTGGAGGCTGAAGTAATCAATGTAAAGTAATGTATTAAGTAACAGAAACAAGCAATGGTTGTCAATTAAATTTATCGAAAGTTGTCCTCAGTTAGTACCTCTCCTAGAACAGGAAATTGAAAATTCCTTGCAAGTTCCAATCCTTTGCAGGCTTCATATAAATCAGAAAGGCTACGAGCCTGAAAAATAAATTATCCCTTGTTACACACAAAATGAGCGACAAGTAAAATATATACCAACTGAAATAGTCCAACAAAATCACCTGCTGACCTGCACGCTTGTATATCTCAAGGGAAGTGATGAAAAATTATATGAAAAATTAAGTAGGGAATATGGAAAGCAGATAGAGAGATATGATAGCTATGATGGCAAAAAGACAAAGTAGACCTACCTTGTCAATGAGATTAATGATCCCATCATTGATAGCACAATAGACTTTAAAACTCTCTTTCAACACCTATAATACGATGATAAAGAAGTTTAGAAATTTTCGAGCTTCGCTTTTGCAGAGCAAGACACCAACAACTGTGTACAGTTGTGGAAATGTTAATCCTAGGACCAGGTATAATTATTACGTACCAGAGCTAGTGCATATTGTATAACATGATTGTGGTTAGCAGCGCCTTCTGGCTGAAAAAGTTAAAGGAGCAAGACAGTTCACTGATCAGTAAGTGCAGCCACAGCACAATGTCACAAACTATCAACAACAGAAACTAATAACATTAGAAAAAGTACCCTGCAACCAATGAGACGATAGCGAAGCTGCTGCAAAGCTGGCAACTGCTCCAAGAGTTCTTCACCATCTAAATCCCTGGTTCTACTCTACCCCTGGCCATCCGCAATATGCAAAATCGAAACAATCAGAAAAGAAAAAGAGGTAGGAACACCAAAAAAGAAGAGTAAACCAACAGCTGATCCCTTATCCTGCCCTGGGTTAGATTTCGGAAGACGTTCTGCCTCAGTATCATATTTTAAAACCCTGAAGCATTCAAGCCGTTCCTCGAGAAATAACGCATAAGTACGTACCCAAGCTGAACAATCCCAGGCTGTAGGAGACACAAAAAAGCATACATATAAAGTTAACTCTCTATAGAAGCCACATGTACCCACAAATGAAGAAGAAACACTAAATAGACTTACCAATAGGACTTGAACCATCCTTAAAATTAGAAAGCTGCAAAATTCAATAGTTCCTCTCTAAAAGTTGGATCTCCTTCCCTTAGAAGCCGGTGAATAACAATTAGTTTTTTTCAGAGCCACCTGTTGAAGCAACCCAAGAGAGAATAGACATAAAGAGATCAACATGTTGTACTAAGGATCATGTCATCAAGAAACACAAGAGAGAGTAATCAATAAGTACCGTCCAATTCCTGGTTTTATGCAAACGCCGGGAAAGAGCGTGAATACAATAAGCAACGTCTGCTCGAGCACGAGTCACTGACGTTGCAGCGAAATCAGATCTAAGAATTCCCGAGAAAGTGAATCACTCACTTCTGAGATGACTATGGCGACATCTAAATCCTAAAAATTACAATGAAAATTCCAGAAATCAAAAACCGAATCTATCGGCGATTTTCTTCAGATTAAAGAAATAGACAAAAAAGAATCAATGGAAATTGGAAAGAGCGTACGGCGTATTCGCTGTTGACACGGACAAGGCCGACTTTGGTGGAGTCTTTTAGGGCTCCGTAAGCTTTTCTCCATGACTGAAGCGTTCCCATCGGAAAATCTATAGAATGAGACTCGTTCGTTCTTCAGATCTCTCTACGAAACCGGAGATGACGTGTCTCAATCTCGAATCTTCTTTATATTATTTTCCCGAGAAAAGCTCCGGGAAAATTTGTCAGAGAGACTATCGAGAAAGAGGGGAAGAAAGGGATTTTAATCTAGTCCACCCTTGCGCTCAAAATCGATTCCATTTAGCCCCGTAATAAAATTAATATAGTTAATAGTTTATTTTAATTCAGAAAAATAGTAAAAGACAAATAAAACAAAGAGTTTTCACTTATTACGATCCAACCAGTCAGTTGAATCTAGCTTCATATAAATTTCGGATCTTTTATTCCTAAAATCAAATCCAAACCCTAATTCCTAAAATCTTTGGTGGTTGAGTTTTTAGATACAGTTGTGTCCAGTTTGTCTTTTTGTTTCTTATGTTGATGTATAAATTTAAGTGTTTATGTACAACTGGTATGCTCAGGTACAACTATGTATCTGTGTTTATGATTTTTTGATAAAAAAAAACTATCCAATTATGTATGAATCTATGAATCTTAATCTTAATATCTTTATGTATGAATATAATCTAAGGGTTTTGATCAAAAAAAAAATTAAATATATAAATTTTCCTAAATATCTGACAAATATGTATGTTTCTAAGGATTTTGATTCAAAAAAAACAAAAAAAAAACAATAAAATATCTAAAAGTATCTCAAAATATCTAAAAATATCTTACCTAACGCCGTTATTTTAGAAAAAAAAATAATTAAATAGTAGCACAAATTTGCTCATAGTTGTACAGTTGTACTCGGTTGCACATTTTTGCTCATAGTTGTACAATATAGAGAAATTAGTAAATTTAGTTGTTATCAACTCTAAATTAATTTTTGTGGGTGAAACCGATGGTATTGCCTCATCAAAATACCATTACTTTGTATCAGTGTAGTTATATTTATCAAAATACAAGTATTTCAAAATTTGAAAAAAATTTAGTTCAAATCTACAAAGTAACCATGGAAGTATAAGGTTATTAGTGTATGAATGTGAGATTTTGTGATAAGAATTTCATTAATTTAGAAAAATATGAAATTTTTTGTCAAAAACTTCTTGTGTAGTTTCATTACCACCGAGTATGCATTTTTTAAGATTTTTTAATTTGGTTTTAAATTTTCATTTTTTATAAAATTCTGAAAACTAGCAAAGGCAATAGACCTTAGTTGTACGGGTTGTACGTAGTTGTACCAAGACAGAACAATTTAATTTGTATAGATACGACAAGGAAATCAACCAGAGTTGTACCTGTTAAAACTTAGTTGTACGAAACAGAACAAATAAGTTTCACAACCAAAACCAATACAAACAACATCGCTTCTTAAATCATCCTAATAATGGCACTCATAAATCAACCTTGGTCACCCTCATCGTCCCATCAACATCACCATCATTGTTACCATCATTGATAAACCACTCGGCCTCTTCGACCTCTTCTTACCTCCTTTTCCTCTATGTTCTCTAACGGAAGGGAATCTTGTTTCTTGTCATCTTCCTTGTTTTACCTCATAATCCGGAGAATAGGCAAACTGTTTCATTATCTCCATTGGAACAATCCATTGAAAATTATGGAGAACCGGATAAATCATTCTCGTATAATTTGGTCTACTTAGTTGTACCCAATAATTTTAGTTGTTCAAAATCTGCAATCCCCAAAATTTTCTACCAAAAACGCATTCAAGTTACGAATTCAATTTTTCTCAATCATATTACACTAAGAAAACAAGTATACTTACCTTAAAGTATGGTGGATAGAGAAGAAGTAAACAACGAGCTTTAATGGTGGATGGAGAAGAAGAAGAGAGGAGATATGCTTTGGAGATGCTTGAATCGTAAGAAGAAGAAGAATTTGTTTTTTTAGGTTTTTGGATGGAGAAGAAGAAGAAGAGAGGAAAATATGTCTTTGAAGATGCAATATCGTAAGTTTTAATGGTGGATAGAGAAGAAAAAATAAGAATAAAGGAGAAGAAATATGTCGTAAGAAGAAAAATAATCTCATTTTTAAGGTTTTTTGGTAGTTAATAAGAGAGGAGAGATAATGAATATGATTGGGAAGGAAAGGGGGTAATGAGAATAAGCGAGGGTTTTTGAAAGAATGTTTGGAGGAAAAGGGGCTAGAGAGATTTAGATCCGGAAGAAAGTGAAGAAGAAAAAAGAAAAAAAAGGACGCGAGGTTTATGATGACTCGTTCCGTTTCTTTTTCTTTTTTCCTATTTTCTTAATTTAAAGTCAATTTGTTCAGATTAAAAAAAATAAAATGAGTCAAATTATATGAAAATAGCCAATTGAATTTTCTTAATGCTTAGATTTTATTATCTGTCCGTTAATAAAATTAATTAAATTGCTTTTTATTGACTACACGAAATAAAATAAGTACTCAAGGTAGGAATTGTCCTAAGAAAAAAAAAAAAAAAAAAAGACAAAGCAGGATTTAAATAATTGATCAAAAGAGAAATCGGATTCATAATAATGTTTATTTGCTCGATGGGATTCATAATTAAAGGTTCATGCAGAGCATAATATATCTGGAAATCTAACAGTACTAATGACCTAACTCACTAATTAGAATCGAATTTGCTCCTCTGGATTATCATCTGTTATAGAGCACTTTTTCTATAATAAAATCACAAAGTCATATATATATATATATTTTTGTGCCATATGTATATTTGTTATTTAAATAATGTAGTATAGTCTAGAGATGCTTATACTATACTAAATTGATGACGATATTTCTTCTACTATTTATTAAGAATTCAAAATAACTTTTAAAATGTGGTGGATAATACAGATATTGAGAGTGAGAATTGTATGAACACCAAGAAAAAAAAAGAGTAAACCAACATTTGATACCTTATCCTACCCTGGGGTAGATTTCGGAAGACGTTCTGCCTTAGTATCATATTTTAAAACAATGAAGCATTCAAGCCGTTCCTCAAGAAATAATGCATAAGTACATTACCAAGCTGAACAATCCCAGGCTGTAACAAAAAAAAACACACATTCAACATTCACTCTCTATAGAAAACTCTTTTGATTCTAACACAACACATAAAACCACAATCTCTGGCTTTTCCGGATCTATAACAGAGAGAACCGCATCTACAGCTAAAGGAGCAAGCAATGTAGGGTACTGACTAACAACCTTACTGTTAAGCGACGTGCTCGCAGATTTAACAAGTGAATCTCGATCAGTGAGCTCCACAGCCTCCACCGGAACAGCCATGGCCGTCAAGATATAATCGCCTTAGCACAAGCCTTGTGAAGCGAGTCTGAGATGACAGTAGGGTGGATCCCATTTGAGAGAAGCGATTGACACTCCTTGAGAAGCGCACCGGCGATTACGACGACGGTTGTAGTCCCATCTCCGGCGGCTGAATCTTGAGATTTGGAAAGCTCGACTAAAATATTCGTCGCTGGCTGCAAAACCTCCATCTTGTTGAGGATCGTAGCTCCATCGTTAGTAATGATTACCTCGCCGTTCACCGTGGAAATCATCTTGTCCATTCCTTTCGGTCCCAAACTCGTACGAACGGCGTCTGAGAAAAATTAGGGCTTCGCTTCTCCTCCCACCACGACAATCGGATTTGATTCGGACGAGAGAGAGAAAGAGAGCGAGATTAGGGTTTAAAATTGAAGGGCTTTCGTATCTTCGAGTCTATGGAAGCTTTCTCTGTTCTCAGGATTCGATTAGAAGCCAAGGTAATTATTATGATATAGCATTACACGTGTGGGGAGACACGTGCGAAGTGAAGTCAAGTTGCAATTAGGCGAGTGTGAAGTTGACGCGTGGCAGGCGATGACTGGCCGATTCAAGGAGGCCGTTAGCATCTATATGAGCAAGGTGTTCTTAAACTCAATTTTGTGTTTTGTTATCTTTTCTTAAGGAATTGATTTATTTTTTTCTCTCTTGTTGCTGCCATTTGCATTGAACAGGTTGAGAAGATTGTTGTTGAAAATATGCTTGCTTTCTATTTGGATAAGACTTGCAGCTAGGTCGGATACTTGCAAATCAGAAGATGATAAGGCATGGGTTTCTATTGTTTATATCAATGATAGAGCAGACTTTCAAGCCCTTTTGTTTCCTCTAATGCTTTGTGGGTGGTTTGTTTCTTGCACAAGGTCTATGAGGAGTTAGCTACAACTGTGATGACAATAGTTGACTGTGTTGTGAATAACAAGACTCGGGTTTCTCTTTCCTCTTTTCTTTTGTGGTTTCATCGTCTCTTCTTCTTCGTCAGTGGAAGAGATTTCATGGCCTTCAGGAGATCTTGAAGCCATCAATCTAACACCTGAAGTTCGGTATTAACAAAACCATGTAGATCCTCCAATGATACAATGAGTAAATTTACCTTTAGTAGAGATTGGGGAAGAAGGATCTGCTTCTCTAGGCATTAGCTCGATTGTTCAATCTTCTTCAATTGTATCATCAATGTTTCTTTAAGAAGAGTTGCTCTGTAGTCTGTACTCTCCATTGATAATCAAATACAATAAACAAAACAGAACTGATGATCAGAGAACGAACCAAGAACTTCAAAAGTGGACCTCAGATGAAACAATTCCAATGTTAGGCCTAACGCGATACGTTTCTGGAATTCATGGTCGTAACCTAAACACAATCGAGAAGCCTCAATAACACAGGTATAGTGTAACACCCGCGTCCCGCGATCCTAAAGGGGGCCGGTTTGTTTTAGGGAAAACTAAATCATGTCGAGAAAGACCAATGAAGAAGTTAACCCAAGGAAAGAATGAATCGTTTAATGCATGAAAAGGGTAGATGACTTAAACGATTTCGGGATAATCTAAGTGATCATGGGGAAATGATTATGGAAAGATTAGGAATGGCGTAGTAATGGCCGAGAAACAGACCGAAAGACTTAGCCGGAAAGAATCGACAAAAGAGTCCGAGCTAAACCAGCTAGGTGAGCTGGACAAGCTGGATGAACTAGCTAGCTCAGCTAGGTGAGCTAAACCAGCTGCATGACTAGCTAGCTCAGTTAGGTGAGCTGACCGACAGCTCAACCGAGCTCAGTGAACTGATCGAGTACTGACCCAGCTGGGTGGTGCGGCCAGCTGACACTCGAGCTGGTGGATTGTGGTAGCTCGGAATGAAGAGGTGTAAGCTCGAGCGGTTACCAACGAACGGTTACCGTTGGGCAAAGGGTGGATAAGGCCGAGCGGTTACAATTGGAAAGGTGCAACCCTTTGAAAGGGTGCAACGAACGGACGTGATATTTCGGAAACACACCCATTCGGCCCCTATATAAGGGAGGACGCCCAAGGGCTTTAGGATCACTTCACAATCACCATCACAACCAAAACGAGTCCCAAAACACTCTACGAAATTGTTGGTCAGAAAGGGGGTGCGGCTCGGCGAGTATCTCGGAAATCGGAAAGGATTCTCAAAGCCTCGACCGAACTGATACGCATGCTACCTCCCGATCTAACGGTTCAATAGAATGTATTGAGGGGATAGATGGGATAGACCGATCGTCATAGAGACGAATTGGATTAGAGAGACCGATCGGCGGACGGATCGGATCGGACAGACCGATCGTCAGACGGATCGGATCGGACAGACGGATCGGATCGGACAGACCGATCTTCAGACGGATCGGATCGGAAAGACCGATCGTCGGATAGACGGATCGGATCTGGTAAGAAGATGGATCAGATTGATCGATTGTACAGATCGGCGGGTTGACCGACGGTACGTATCGGAGATCTGGTCGAGGGAACATGTAACATCCGCGTCCCGCGATCCTAAAGGGGGCCGGTTTGTTTTAGGGAAAACTAGATCATGGTCGAGAAAGACTAATGAATAAGTTAACCTAAGAAACAAAAGAAACGTTTAAGTCATGAAAAGTGTAGATGACTTAGACGGTCTCGGGATAATCTAGTGATCATGGAGAAATGATCATGGAAAGATTGGGAATGGCGTAGTCAAGGCCGAGAAAACGGACCGAAAGACTTAGCCGGAAAGAACGTGGAAGAACGTTCGAGCTAAACCAGCTAGGTGAGCTGGACAAGCTGGATGAACTAGGTAGCTCAGCTAGGTGAGCTAAACCAGCTGCATGACTAGCTAGCTCAGCTAGGTGAGCTGACCGGCAGCTCAACCGAACTCGGTGAACTGATCAAGTACTGACCCAGCTGGGTGGTCCGGTCAGCTGACACTCGAGCTGGTGGACTGTGGTAGCTCGGGATGAAGAGGTGTAAGGTCGAGCGGTTACCGACGAACGGTTACCGTCGGCCAAAGGGTGGATAAGGCCGAACGGTTACGATCGGAAAGACGTAACCTTTCGGAAGGGTGCAACGAACGGATGTTATGTTTCGGAAACACACCCATTTGCCCCTATATAAGGGAGGACGCCCAAGGCATTCACAATCACCACCACAACCCAAAACAAGTCCCAAAACACTCTACGAAGTGTTGGTCGGAAAGGGGGTGCGGCTCGGCGAGTATCTCCGGAATCGGAATGGATTCTCGGAGCCTCGACCGAACTGATGCGCATGCTACCTCCCTATCCAACGGTTCGATAGAATGTATTGAGGGATAGATGGGATGGACCGATCGTCTTAGAGACGACTCGGATCGGACAGACCGATCGTCGGACGGATCAGATCGGACAGACGGATCGTCGGACGGATCGGATCGGAGAGACTGATCGTCGGACAGACGGAACAGATCTAACAAGGAGACGGATCAGATGGACGGTACAGTCGGATCGATCGTCGAGATTCAATTGATGGTTTGGATCGATAGCTCGATTATGGGATCGATGGATCGTCCGATAAATCAGATCGTCGAGGGAGGATAGGGTTAACGGGAAGTTAATCGATAAGGTGTATAAGGGGAAGGTATTCGAGGAAGCACGAGGATAAGTGCATTCGAACACACCCAAGGGTCGCCCATAGATGCAATCTCACCGAGAAAGGGAGAAAGCATCGTGAATGGGTAAGGCACGTGGTTCTCCAAGTAAGAATCAAATATCGCGGCCGCCTTTATGAATCAAACGTCGCAGCCTTGGTAAAACCGATCGAAAATCGGTAAGACCAATGGTGACTCGACGGATAACCAACGGGAAAGTCTACGGTGAGAACCGATGGACAAAACAGATGTTGGACCCGCGAGCGAACCAATGGCCGACGGACGAATGATTTCATGGGCTAGCCTACGATAATCCGATGGATGAATCCACGGACCCTTGGGTGTGATAATGATATTGTTCGGATCGCATGGATGGATCGATAAGCCGAAGGCGTTACCGACCACCATGGACCGGACGGGTAAACGGTTAATGAACCGTGGGCGGTCGTAGTGATAAACGACCGGATCGGAAACATGGATGGTTCGATAAGCCTCGGGCTTGATCGACCACCATGAAACAGAAGGGGCGTATGTTTGGAGGACGGATGGACCAATGAGCCAAGAGCTTGATTCGGCCACCGTGAACCAAGGGAAACGTACGATCCCCAATCTCTATCGTGGGACTTAGACCAGTGGGGTTGGTTGGATGTATGGCTAAGTAACGATAGAGATTGGTCCATCAATACACGATTGGTTAAGAATCGTTGTACGAATGGAATAATGCAACAAAAAGGGCTAAGGGAAGGATCAATGGACGGATCAAAGAAGAATCGAATCCGCATGTTGGCCAAGGTATGTAAACGAATCTAACTTATTAGTTAAGCTAGACGTTTGGGAACTGGTCGTTGGATTAAGGATAAAAGAATATGCAATCGTTAGACTTGAAATGGTTAGCGAACAAATTGCATGACTTGGCCGAGTAAATGATTGATTTAAAGTCTAAGGGACAAAGACGATCAAACCGGTACAAGGGATGGTTGGAATTAGACCAAGGGTAGAAAGACTTCCACTGGGTACTAAGAAAGCGATTATAGAATTAAGCCTCGTAAAGGCAATTCTATGTTAAATCGCGAAAAATATGGAGGTTCGGCCGGGAAGAGGTGCGAGCTAGTGTCCATGGTTGCCGGACACCGAGACATCCGGGACGGGACTCTACAAGTTGGTAGCAGCGCATGCTTGATCCTAGGATGGATAAGTGCTCGGGAAAAGGTCATGGTAAATGACTACTAAAGGTGTAACTTAAATGATTAAGTCCTCGGGGAACCGAATTATGAACTTGAACATTAGTGTTGGTGAGCCAGAAGGGAATTGAGGCAAGAACGCGATTACATGCTTGGGAACCAAGAGAGTTTGCCAAGATGAATTGGTTAAGCCAAGATTATTACCCAAGGGGCAAGAACTACATGTGTAACAAGTGAATAATTATGCTGAGAGAGGGGCTTGATTTTAAAAGTTGAAAATGTTATGCTAAGTGTTTGGCGGATAAGGAAGTTGAGGTGAATGGGATCGATGTACTTGAGGAAAGATTACCCAAGGCATGATCGGGCACCAAGATATGACCCTTATAGTCAAACGACTTAACATAACGGAGAAAAAAGGTATTGATCTATTCGGAGAATGACCAAGATCAATAGAAATTAGATCTCGTCGGAATTTGACAAAGATCGGGAAAGACTTGATCTATTCGTTGAAAAGATCAAGGGGTATTGACCGAGTCCGGTAAAGGACCAAGGTCAGAAATTATTGACCGAGTCCGGTAAAGGACCAAGGTCGGGAATTATTGACCAAGTCCGGAAAGGACCAAGGTCGGGAATTATTGACCAAGTCCGGAAAGGACCAAGGTCGGGAATTATTGACCGAGTCCGGTAAGGGACCAAGGTCGTGAAAAGTGACCGAGTCCGGTGGGGACCAAGGTCAGAAATTTGTTCTAGTCGGAAT